AACTCGTGATACCTTAGAGCCATTAACGTGTTATCTGACAACTTAGCATCTGACTCGGACCCTCCTGCATCATCGTATAAGTGAACGAGCAGAACATTAATGTTCAAAACTTTAAAGAAAACATGGGCTACATGGATGTAAGATAGTACAAGCAGAAAGCAACACTCACATCATCAGAAGATGATTCTTCTTCAGAACTACTAGATTCTTTCACTGGAGGCTTGACTACTACTCCTCCCTTTTTAGCTGGTACCTTAACCTATTCATTTACAAAACATAAACATCAACAGAAACTAACATGAAGCAAAATTCATCGATTTAAAAACATAAGACAGGATAATGCTTCTGTAATTGAATGTCAAAGTGCTAACTATTTATAATATAGACCTAGAAAAATTCACAAAATTGATAAAAGATTAAAAATTTCAATAAGCATTCCTGGTTCAGGCCATACAGGTGAAGTACAAAAGCCAAAGGTATAAAATAAATATGCAAGTTATAATCAGGTTAATCCAGGCACATACAAATCACAAAAAAGATTTAAAAGCAGAGGAATAAGGATAAAAATGACAAATAATATTCTTTAATATATTTCCAGAAACCAGCATGAATCAAAATTCATATATTTAAAAACATAAGTGAAAAAAATGCTTTCATAATTGAATTTGTCAAAGTGCTAACTATTAACAATATAGGCCTAGTAAAATTCACAAAATTTGATAAAAGATTTTTCATAAAGCTTTCCTCTAGCCACAAAGCTAAAGTTCAAAAGCATAACGTACAATGCTAGTATGTTATAAAGCTTTCCTCTAGCCACAAAGATAAAGTTCAAAAGCATAACGTACAATGCTAGTATGTATCTTATAATTAGAATAAATAAATATATTGCACACACATACTAACATATGAATTAAAAGCAGAGGAACAATGAGGATAAAATTGCAAATAATAATTCTAATAAAAAGGCAAACAAACCTTGAGCTCTTCTTTAGCCCTTCAGACTTCAGAGTCTTCTTCTGAAGAAGACTTCATTTTCTTCTTGACGTTCTTCTTCTGAACCTTAGCCTCATTCTTCTTCTGCACTTCCACGTCCTTCTTCTTTTATGGTTTCTTCAACATCGCTTCCCCCAAATAAAACCAAAACTGGAAACATGCCCCCATTAGAAACCCAAGATTTTCCATCCCCATCTGAGACTAGACGCCAATTACCCCAAAATAAAACCACAGTAATTATTCTCAATTGGCCAGCCCAACAACAAGCCCTTCAGACTCCCCATTTTCAATTATCCCCTACAGAACCCTAAAATCCCTTTCCAAACCCTAGAAATTCCAATTAGTTAACTAGTTACTAAAAATCTTCAACAGATTAATATCGTTCATAAAAAAAAGACCTCGACGAAGTCAGGCTGGTGACCAAGGTTGTGCTGGGATTCGGGTCGGATCTCAATGTCGGCGGACTCATCCACGATTTCTTGCATTGTGTTTTGAATAAACTCATCGAATGAGTTGAGTTGCTGACGCACCAAACCCTTCTCATAAAAGTAGGCATTGATCACCGCCCACACGTTCTCCTGTGTCTCTTAAACTTCGTCGGAGCCAAAGAGACGAGAAGAGAAGAGAGGAGCCTGGGAAAAGGAAGAAAGAATGTTGAGTGACTGTGTGTGGCAATTTATCTATACACCCAGTGATACCTTTGGCAATTTATATATACACGTTTATCAAACGTTGCCAAAGGTATCACTGGGTGTATATAACGTTGCGAAAGGTCTACTTTTCGCAACGTTTATCAAATGTTGCAAAAAGTAAACCTTTTGCAACGTTTGTCAAATGTTGCGAAAAGTTTACTTTTGCAACGTTTGGCAAACGTTGCAAAAATTAAAATTTTCCGCAACGTTTGATAAACGTTACGAAAAGTGTCTATCGCAACATTCTTCTAAAAAACGTTGCCAAAACTCATTTAAATTAACCAATGGCAACATTCACTTACTAAAATGTTGTCAAAAGACCCTTTTAGCAACATTTATCAATAAATGTTGCCTTTTTAGTGTTGCAAATGACTATTTTTGTTGTAGTGTCATTCTTGTTCCCTGTGTAAATTTTCATTGAAAGTTGGACAATTGGATAGTCATGGATTGCAAATTGTGATTGTTCGTGTTTCAAGATAAGTAAAGGAGTTTGCAGAATTCAGTAAATGTATATTTTCTATCACAATTTATATCTAAACATAAAACAAATTATTAATGGGAATTGAAATCTGTTTTATTTTCCACTGTGCATGTAAATTCCCAACATTATTATTTCTCAACGAGACTATCAAAATATAATACAAATATTTTTTTTCACTTTCTAATAGTTTAAACATTTGAATGTGGTTGTTGAACTTGAAACACAATTAAGTAGTACAGTCTTTGAATACATTTTCTAGAATTTTAGGCCATGAACACAGAATATTAGACCAAGAAACAGAGATACCAAAACTTTCTCTAAAATAAAGCGCAGAAAATTTAAGAAAAACAATCGACATATTTTGGCCTAAGCTTCGGAGGTTCGGTGACCACTTCTAACACCTATATTCCCTATTGAGCATCCAAAAGATTGAATTATGCTCGATTCCACTATAACACCTAAAACGGCAACAAATGTCACAATAATGTTCAGTCAAATCACAAATAATAGTACATAACACTTATCTTTCTCAAAATACAGTAATCGATTTACACGAATCACAAAGAATCACATCAGAACCTCAGAAACAATAACTCAGAAGCACAAAGACTTCCTTACAAATATTCACTTAGAATATCACAAATAGGCTAAAATATTACAGATCGCCTTCTCAAATTAAGAATCTGAGAAGGAATTACAAAGAGAACAAAAACCAGAGAAAACCCTTAAACGACGCACTCTTAAAGAGAGAACAGAATCAAACCATCAAAACCATCGAATATGCCAAATGAAATGGTATAAAGGAATAGAACCATCCAGAATTCAAACGAACAACCAAGAGTCATCCATGTGTCACAATCTGGTTGAAAGCGTGGTTTAAATAAAGTTGCATTTGCCAAAACACGTTTTTTAACACAAATTGTGGGAGCACCATTCGAACCCGGTTCGAATCCCAAAACCTCCACCTTGCTACCAGAATTTGGGTTATAGTGTAGTCCTCAACACAATCTCAAACAATTTTCATTTGTTCTAAGTACTTGTACATGCATCACAAAGAATCAACAGATAAAAGTTTCAAACAATTTAAAAACTTATTTACATGAATTACATTATTAATCATATCAGATGGATTAAGTTGAGTTGAAACTTTTCCAATTCTTATATAATGACATTTAACATCAATATGCTTAGTTCTATCTTAAAACATAGTATTTTTGTTCAAACGAATAGCACTTCGATTATCAGACAGTAACATAGCATTCTTATCAGCAAAACCAAGTTCAGACATCAACCCATTTAACCATATTCCCTCTTTCAAAGCATCTGTTACAGCAATATATTCTGCTTCAGTGGACACTAAAGCAACAACTTTTTGAAGTTGAGATTTCCAACTAACATAGTACCACATAAGGTATAAAAGTAAGATGAAGTTGATCTCATATTATCTTTATCCTAGCAAAATTAGAATCATTATATCCCTTTAAATTTACACCATTTTTACTTGATTTAAACATTAAACTCAAGTTAGGTGTGCTTTTAAGATATCTAAACAAACCATTTTAAAGAATTCCAATATTCTTCCCCAGGGTTACTCATAAACCTACTCAATATGTTAATGCCAAATGCAAGATCAGATCTGGTACAAATTATCAAATACATAACAGAACCAATAGTATTTGCATAAGGTATTTTAGACATTCTAGCATACTCTTCTTTAGAATCTCGACAGCATTCAAAAGAAAGCTTAAAATGACTAGCAAGAGGCAATGTTACAGGTTTATAATCATGCATGTTAAATTTTTTCAAAACTTCAATCACATAATCATGTTGAAATTTTTTATCATACAGAAAGAGAATATTTCTCCAAATTTGCATGCCTAATATATTTTTAGTAGAACCAAGGTCTTTCATTTCAAATTCAAACTTTAGTTTCAATTTGATATCATCAATTTCACACTTCTTACAGCTGGCAAGCAACATATTATCCACATAGAGAACTAAATGAAAGAATTTTCATCTCCATCACCTCTAAAATATAAACATGTATCAAACTGGCTTATTTTAAAACCAAGTTTTAGAACAAATGTATCAAATCTCTTATAACCTTGTCTTGGAGCTTGCTTTAATCCATATAAAGATATTTTTAACAGATAAACAGTATTTTCAGGATTTTCAATTTCAAAACCAATAGGTTGCTTCATGTAAATTACTTTATCTAAATTACCATACAAGAAAGTAGTTGTAATATCTAATCGATCAAGTTCCCATTTAAATTGAGCAACTAAAGCAGGCAAACATCTAACAGTGTAATATTTCACAACAGGAGAAAAGATTTCAGTGTAATCAACGCCTTCTTTTTGAGTAAAACCTTTTGCAACGAGTCTAGTTTTATATCAAATATTTTTAATATCTCATTCCCCTTGTTTTACTTTATAAATCCACTTACAATCAATCAGTTTCTGGCCTTTAGGCATTTTAACAAGTTCCCAAGTCTTGTTTTTCAAAAGTGAAGACATTTTATCTTCCATGACAGCTTTCCAATTTTTACTTTCATTACACTTAATGACATCATCATAGGAGTTTGGCTTATTTTCAAATTGTTCTTGATAAGTGAAGAATGAAACATAATCATCACTGTCGAATTTAGAGGAGGTCTCATCTACCTCATTTTCCTATCTCTTATGAGTTGATACTCATTAGAAAGGAGAGCAGAAGGATTAGATTGATCAGTTTGATCAATATCAATTTCATGTTCAATACCAGCTTCATCTACCGGAGGACAAGATTAACTAGTTCAATTTGAGGAGGCTCCACCTCAATTTGAACATCTTTATCAAACAAAACTTTATCTTTTCCTTTTAAATATGGCATTAAAGACTCATTGAAAACAACATCCTTTCTAACAATGTCTCTATACCCCTTTTCACATTTAACCCACAATCTGTAGCCTTTAATATGTTCATCATAACCCAAGAAAACAAATTTAAGAGATCTAGGTTCCAATTTTCCAATGTTTTGATGAGTATATGCAGCACAACCAAACACCTTTAAATGAGAATAATTCACATAACCATCAAACCATACAGATTTAGGTACACTAAAAATTTAAAGCTTTCGTAGGACTTCTATTAATAAGATATGCATATGTTTTGACAACTTCACCCCTAAACAATTTAGGCAAACCAGAACTTAATAGCATGCATCTAACTTTATTCAATGGAGTCCTATTTATTCTTTCAGCTATTCCATTTTGTTGAGGAGTATAAGTAACAGTTCTATGTCTTAAAATAACATTTTCTTTACAAAAATTGTTGAATTCATGATTACAAAATTCCAAACCATTGTCAGTCTTCAAAATCTTTATCTTGTGATCAGTTTGGTTCTCAATTTGGGTTTTCCAGTTCTTAAAAGCTGAATTTTTTTTTACTAAGAAACCCATATTTTCCTAGAATAATCATCAATGATCAGCAAAAAATATTTAAAATTAGATAAAATACACACAGTAGCAGGACAAATCAACATGTAAATATTCCAATATTTGTTTGGATTTATGAATTCCAGTTAGAAAAAGGTAGTTTGATTTATTTCCCTATAATACATTGTTCACTAGAACCAAAATCACCAAAATTTTGCTTTCCAAAAACTCCTTTGATTGTAAAGAATTTAAAGCCTTTTTTCTTTCAAAAAATAAAGACCATATCTTTTAGGTATATTTATGATTAAATCATTCCCCCTAAGAATATTAATATATCCTTGATTCAGATTTATGTTAAACTCCATATCATCTAACATACCTAAGGACACCAAGTATCTTTTTAAGTCAGGTATGTACATGGTTTCCCTAAGAAACAGAACCTTACCATTTTCCAAAAGTAGTTTTATAGTCAATATACCTTTTTTGCCCCTAAGAATTTTAATATGTCGACCCATGTTTATGTTAAACTCGATATCATCTAGCATACCTAAGGACACCAAGTTTCTCTTCAAGTCAAGAATATACCTAGTTTCTTTAAGAAATAGAATATTTCCATTTTTCAATAACAATTTTAAAGTCCCTATCCCTTTAAGAAATAGTAAAATTGTTTTCTATTTCACTTGCCTTTCTGCAGCCTCTTTAAAATCAAGAAAACAGTCTTTATTTGGGCACACATGGAAGGAACAATCCGAGTCAAGAATCCATTCATCACTCAGTTATTTTTCCATATTAACAAGAACCAATCCAGAATTAGACTTAGCTTTATTATACACTAAAGCATTACTTCTTTCATCAAACTTATTATCTTTCAAATCATTATTCTTTTTAAAACAATTT